GGTGTGGGCAGCAAGACCCAGCTGAGCTAAGCCAACCTCCCACCGGCCACGGGATTTAGAGGCTTCCAAATTATGGGATTTCCTGGGGTCCAGGGTCAACGTCTCATCTGCTTGCATCGTTTCACCCCGGCTCTTTCTCCAGGCTTTGTGAGACGGGAGGAAAATCCCCTCCTCCTCCTCTCGAATCTCTCCGTGCCACCACTGCCTCTCCCCATCTGGGTTCCTCAGCTGGGGCCATCCCAGGTTGTGATCCCTGCAGAACGCTGGTGTGGAGGAAGCAGGGCTTCCACCTTGCCCTGTCCTGCTGTCCCTGTCCCTGTCCAGCGCAGAGGGCTGCTGCCCTCTAGTGCTGGCTGACCCCCCCTGGCAGGAAACCCCCTGGAAAGCCCTGGCCGAGGGCCGCCACCTTCTTGCTGCGCTCCTCATCATCTTCAGGAAGCTCCAACATGATCATGGAGAGCTCGCTGGGTGAAGACTCCCGCTGGTGGGACAAAGCAGCAGAGGGTCTGGCCGAGCCGCAGTCTGGATCTAGCACCGAGATGCACAAAACCCACAATGTTTTGTTACTTCCATCCCACAGCTCCCGCTCTGGAGATGTGCCTTGCTTCCACCTCCGATCCAACCCGTATCATCCATACATTAAGTGCCAAAAGCACCCATCGTCACCTACCACCACAGAAGCCTTCCATCAAACCCCAAAAAGCTGCAGTTTGCCCTGGAACGATGCCAGAACCTCCCCGTCGCTGGATGTGCCAGTGCCGGGCGCCTGCTGCTGCTGACGAAGCCCCGCGACAGCCCTCAGAAAGCCCCCGGGCTCTGAAGTCACCCTGCAAGAACATGCCCAGACCCACCCCCAGCCGCGCACAAACCCACCTTCTGGGCAGCACGGACCCATGCCAGCGCTCGGGTTCTCCTCAAACCTGGTTTAGAAACCTGGTTTTAAGGCACCTGGTTGAACACATGACAAGCCCGGGCAGACCGAGCATCCAGAAGGGATCCTCGCTACCAGCAACAAGACAAATACTGGGATTTAATTATTTTTTTTCCCTCCGTTAACATGCTCTGAAATGCAGCCGATTTCCAGAGAACAGAACCCATGCAGGGATTGCCGAGTTATTTTTAATAAGCTTCTAAAATAACGGGAAGGACTTGTTTACACCTATTTCACCAGCATGTTCTTGATGTCTGTTCAGATCAACCTTCATCCCTTCACTCTGGAGCAAGGAGACAAGAAGCAAATAAGAGAAGGGTTCCAAGTATATAAAAAGAACTGTAACATTTTATTACAAGAAGAAAAACAAAAAAAAACAGAGTTACAAAAAAAATACACAGGCTACATCAGGGACTTTGGCATTGGACATCAGACCACCCAGGATCTACTCAAAATCCAGAGAAAAAGGAGTTACACACATAAGCAGAACACCGGAAAGCTGGCAGGATGCTGCTGCCCGGGACACCAGCCTGGCACCGACTCCAGCGTCTCAGGACAGGGACTCCTTGGAGACCAGGCTGCGGGGCTGCTCCTCAGCTCTCCAGCACTTCCCTCTGTGCACCAACACCATTTCAAGGCAGCTTCTGCCTTCCATCAAGCCTTGGCTCCCAGAGGCTACTGCTTCTGCGTAGCACAAGGACTCGGGAAGCACAAGGACTCAGGAAGTCTGTATGTGGTCTGTGCAAACCCCCCCGCAACTAGTGACATCTGATAAGCCCACAGCAGCCCAGCCCAGCACTGCAGTATTGCACCCAGGAGCTAAGCAGGACCTGGGCACACGGACCTTCCAAAAAGCCAAAATATTTTTCTGTTTCATTTCCACGAGTCAAACCAGGCCCTGAGTTTTGGCTGTGAGGGTGGGTGACCTGGCTGAAACGGCAGCTGGTTCTGAGTCACGTACTACATTTTATACGGCAGGGAAGGGGTTAAGTCAAGTCTAGAAAACCTACGATCAGCAATTCGAACGTGGAGTTGTTTCTAATACACCTACTTGGGGTATCTTTTGTGTGATTTCACAAGAAACGAAGAACAAATGAGGTCTCGGATGCAACAGATGCCAAACGGGTTGCCCAGAGAGGTGGTAGACGCCCCATCCCTGGAAACAGCCAAGGTCAGGTGGGATGGGGCTCTGAGCAACCTGGTCTAATTGAAGACGCCCCTACCCATGGCAGGGGGTTGGACTAGGTGATGTTTGAAGGTCCCCTCCAACCCACACCACGCTATTATTCCGTATTATCCTGCTCAAACCCCTTAACCTCTATAAAAGTACCGTGTTATACTGAATGCAGAGTGGGATACAGCTGAAACCTGCACTACGCTGCAGGAAAAGCACCAAAATTTTCTTCCGCAGACAGCACGCAGCAAAGATTACCTTTCAGGTGAACACTGCTCTCTTTTTCCACCCCATTTTATTGTTCTTGTCAAATTACTGGATGTATTCAGGAAGCTCCAGGCCCACAGTCAACTGAGGTTTAGAAAACATCCTGCTTTACACCGTGTCGGCTGTCTGGAACGCCTGGCAGCCGAGCTGACAGGACAGGCTGTAGGAGAAACATCACACAGGATCTCATCTAGCAAAGAGCACGTCTTCTGAATTCGTCGATTCTTCCCTTTTCAGGCCCAAAAGAGAGGCAGGTACCACGCAGCGCCCTCGCGAGCGCCTGGCTCTCGGGCTGCAGCAATGGGTAGAGTCAGATGCAGTTTGCTGTGCTGCTGCTGCAGCAGCCAACTGGCAGGACACTGACCGGCACGGGCTGTCTGGCGCTGCCATTGGTCACCAAAACATGCACCAGGACCAGGGAGTGGAAAAATCAACTTATCCGAAAGGAAACCATGACTTTAAGAGACGCATTCGAGCCAAGATGAGAGTCATTCCCACGTTCTGGGATAAACCCCAACACGTATGGACTGACGCGATCCACACCTGCATTTTACAGGAGATTGCTTCACCCCGCTCACGGAAGCACGGCTTCTACGCAGAGCTGAGCTGCTCAGCTGCGAAGCCAGAACACCCTAGCATCTCCATTGAGCTTACATCATCAAGGAAGGTGCAGATGGCTCTTTGGAAAAGCAGCTCTTCCACGTTCCCTGGCTTGGGCGCAGTTACACTGAAATACTTGATGCTGGTGGCACAGCAAAGAGAACACCAACACCCTCCTCCTCGCTACAGATCCAAGTGTGGGAAGAGTTTCTGCGAAGGGCAGGGCAAGGTGGAGACCCGAGGGAGGAAGGACGGATCACAACCTCTACGCATGCTGCCTTGCTTTTGGAACAGCTGTCCATTATCAGCATCTCTTTTGTTTTGAGGGATCATTTATTCAGGGAGCACTAAGCCATTCCTAAATCCACGTCCTGAGATCTTCAGGGGTCCCAAAGTGCAGCCACCCAGTGTGCGGGCCGTATGCAGAATGGCACGCAGAGAGAAACCAGGAAAGAGTACAGCATGTGTATGGGACGGACAGGTTCCCCCCGGAAACTCCATTAGTTTAGCAATTAATAAACATAAAATGGAACATTACAAAGAAGATCCCAAGACTGAAAGAAAAAAGTCATCTCTTTGGTATCATTATATGCAGCCAAGTTTTACAACAGGGAAAAAAACCCAACCACAACCAACCAAACAAGAAACCAAAGCTATTTTGGCTCCGAATTCACTTTTAGCAGATCTCAAGGTCGGAGGCTGACAGACGCTCCCAACACCGCGCCAGCCCCATGGCACACACCAAAAGCTGCTGCGGTCCGCGCGGAGGCGTTACAGGACCAGCCCGCGCCGACTCAGGCTACCTGAGACGCAGGATTTGGGCATCACCTTCCGTCTCTAACGAGCTGTACACACGGATAAGGAACTGCAGTGACAAACAGAGCCTTGCTGAGAGCACAGCGGTGCTGGAGAGGCCACTGCGCAGGTCGGGGAGGCGGAAGCGGTCCGCACGGTTTTACACGCCAGGGCTGCGCGGATGTGGCTCCCCCCTTCCCGACGATTTACAGCACACTGCCAATGCGACACCTTTCATTGGTGGAACATAAAATGCTGTGGCTGAACTCTGTCACAAACTGTGAACTGGGCAGACATTCAGCTCTCCCAGGAATCCTGACGGAGGGAAGAGAGCGCGCGTCTTCCATTACATCACTACCATTGAACGCGCAGACAGCTACACACAAAGGGCTGTTTGATGTCAGCGACTAACACCCTCCAAACGTTCCAGATACCACCGCCACCTTCAGCCAGTATCTAGCTGCACATACGCTTCTTCTGAACAAACCTGCATTGCAGCTGAAGGCTGGTTTCAGGAACGCAAAAGTCCTCTCCCACAGTCAGTTTGGCAGTTGGCGAAGGGATGCTCTGAAGCGAAACGCGGACGTAGCGACACAGGAAGTGCCCTGACTTCGTAGGTCCAACGCACAGAACCTGCATGGAGTCAGGCGGAATCCAGGAGTTCCAGAAGAGCACCAACTGCTCCAAAATAACCCTGAAGAGCAGACAGGAATATCCAATAAAAATTCAAGCACAGTCCCACAAGTGGTGCAAGAACAAGAAGGTCACACATATGGTGTAATTCTAACAACCTATAAAAGATGGCAGGAAGAAATAACTATAGGTTGGTACGTTACAAAATAGATTCCAACACGGGAATAATTGCTACACGGGAATGCAGAGTGCACAGAATCCCCTACACTATCAACAGTCTGAAAAGAAAGCTCACAAGCAAGATGAGTAAACAATTCTTTCATTAGTTACTGGAACAACATCCATGTTTTTTGTGACCCTGGACACTGCAGTAACCGTGGCTGTAGTAACACAGTGGGAACCTGCTGCTCAGTGTGTATCAGCAGCAGCTACAGACCCCACACAGCTCTTTCAAAAAGGATTTGAATTTGACACGAGACAAAACAAATGTAAAATTTCACCTCATGTTCCAAGAAAAGTGCTTTTAACTGTCCCTTCGACCAGTAGTCCAAAGCATATGCCAGAAGCCTCATCGAGATTGTATTGATCCGAAGGAAATTGCCAACAAACACCACTCGATTGATGTTCTGCAAGTAGGAAGGAAAAAAAAACCAAGGGAACGTTAAGGTTGAATTCCATTTTCCATTTGCAATAACGAATACCCCACCTTAGAGTAAGAAGAAAAAAGTTACACTTATAATGCCTCTTCAAAACACATACGCAGCTTTCCAAATACATTTTCCCGTGAGACCTGATGAAAAACAACCAGCTGAAAGCAGAGGGAAATCACCAGTTGACACTAAAGCAACCGGATCCAGAGAAACTGCATCGCCCCGAAGAGCTGTTCCTGGCAGCTAAGGAGCGTAACTGCCTCGGTGAGCAGGGATGGGAGCTGCAGAGAGGAGTTACGACACATTTGCAGCTTTCTGAACTGAAGAGTTTTGAAACTGGAGCCAAAGAGCCGATCTGCAAGGGAGAGACGACACCGAGTCGGCTTGGGGTTTGGCAGCTGCAAAAGATGGTTCCAAAGAGCGAGGTGAGATGAAAAGGGGTGCGCTGAGATAGATGGTCAGGAACCGCACCAGGAGGGGCCAGAGACTACACCGAAAGACAAAAAAAAAAGAGCTGTATTCAGCACTGGTGAGGCTGCACCTCAGATACTGTGTTCAGTTTTGGGCCCCCCTGGACAAGAAAGACATGGAGGTGCTGGAGCGTGTCCAGAGAAGGGCAGCAAAGCCAGTGAAGGGTCTGGAGAACAAGTGTTACAGGGAGCGGCTGAGGGAACTGGGGTTGTTCAGCCTGGAGAAAAGGAGGCTGAGGGGAGGCCTTCTCGCTCTCTACAACTACCTGGAAGGAGGTTGTAGTGAGGTGGGGGTCAGTCTCTTCTCCCAAGTAACAGACGAAAAGACAAGAGGAAACAACCTCCAGTTGTGCCAGGGAGGTTTAGATTGGATATGAGGAAAAATGTCTTCACTGAAAGGGTTGTGAAGCATTGAAACAGGCTGTCCAGGGAAGTGGTGGAGTCACTATCCCTGGGGGTATTTAAAAGTCATGCAGATGTGGTGCTGAGGGACGTGGTTTAGTGGTGGACTTGGCAGTGCTGGGTTAATGGCTGGACTCAATCTTAGTGGTCTCCTCCTACCTAAACGATTCAATGATTCCATTAATTAAGTGACTGCTGATAGTGTCAAGCAGGATCTGCAGAATGTTATAAACATCCATCATTCTTTCAGAAAGCAGCACCAGACAGGTCATATGAAGACAAGTTCTTTTTCAGACTCTTCCACACTACCTGGATATCCACCGGTGTAACCACAGCCTTTCTAGCTTAGGAATTTGAATAGAATGGTTGATTTTTGGCTACGAGATCCTTATACTGGCTAGAGACACTGATCGTCAAGTGCCATCTCCTCTCTCTCCCCCCAACTCTGGCCTTTGACTCATCATTAAAAAGCTGAATGGCTCTCTACTGTTCATCTGGGGAGGAAAAAAAAAAAAATTTGGAAACTTTTAACTAACACAATTCTGAAAGAAAGGAAAAGACAAACCAAGTAGTGCTATTTTGGATTTAAATCAGACTTCCAGTCAAACTTTTCAATGCCAAAATAGTTCTCCTGAGCCAAGTGATGAACTCTGAAGCTTTCTTGTTCTCCAAAAAGAAGATAAAAAATTTTCAGTTCCTCTTCTTACCGAGGAATCAGGATCAAGTCATGTCTGCTCCTTCACTCACACCCTTCTATGGATTTTCCTTCCATCTCCACCTTCATTAACGTTTTCCTCTAACTGTTCAGCATCCTCTTTGCACTCAGCTGTGTGCTCCACTGTGAGGACTCAGCAGATGTATCATGGGCAAGACCGTTTATCATGTCTTGCCTAGTTTCAGCAGTAAATGAAGGTAAATCGTGAGCACCCGCCAACAGCAACAGGAGTCAGGAGTATGCCTCACCCCGTTAGCTCATCCCATAGGAACAGGCGCAGGACGGAGCGGAGAGCACGTCTCTGTTCTTTCATAGCCCTGTACAATGCTGCTTGACATGAATGCAACAAGGCAGCACTGTAAAGAAGCTGAAAGCCCAAAGATACAGGAACGGTCGTGGAAGTGGTAGGGCCTGACCCAAGAAATTGAAAGCAACTTGTAAAAACAACATAGGAAAGGCATCCAGCCTCTACATCCCTCTACTCCGCCTTTCCTTCTCTCTCAGAGGTCCCAAGAGTTGTAGTTTATCGCACACCAACAGTTCCCAAACTGCTGCAGAGGAGCTGTTTAACTCCTGACCTCAGGAGACCAAGAGCCAGCCCCCAATTCATTCACAGCTCTTCACTTCACAACGATCTGGCTCCAACTATGCAGACGAGCAAGGATAAAATTCACCCAAGAATCCAAGATGAGCAGATTACAACTTACTGAACATCCCAAAAAGACAAGTATGAACACGCATCTTCAGATGCGTGAAGATGCTCTCTTCTCTCTCCCTGAAGAGAGACTCAGTAGCACACAAGTGATGCTTCAGACAGGAAGCAGTGAACCGGATTTCCCCTTCATACCTCGTTAAGCGCGCACATCCGTGCTATGGAGCCAATGTTATTAGTGATGGTGATTAAAGTGGCCTTTGCGAGGTCCTCTTTGCTGACAGATTCCCGCTTCTCCTTGCTCATCATGTTTCCAAAGCTGTAAAGACAGTTTTCGGTAATTTAGTTCTGTTAAAACAAAACAGCAGAGGGAATGGTCGCTCTCCTAAGACACATAAATCCAGTTTTTCATCCTTGCAGAACCTCCAGTAAAAATAAAACAAAAATAAAAGTCAGTCAAGTCATTACCTGGATGCTACAGCCCAGCCTGGCAATCCGAATCGCTCGTAGTCTCCTCCGTAAATGTCCCGCACTAGTTTGTCCACTTTGGTGCTGTCTCCACGGGATGCCATCTCTAGGGCTTCTTCAAAGGTGGAGCAACCAGTAAGAAGGCAGCAGAGACCAAAAAAGGTTCCCCCTCCAAGGCTGCAACATCAAGCAAAATGAAAGTCACTTTGCTTCCAAAGAGTCAGAGAAGGAAAAGGGCTCCTTCCACTCAGGAAGTTAGCTCAGACTGCCTCATTCCTTCCACTTCCTCCCTTTTCAGTGACAGCAATCTTGGAAGAGCAGCATTCTTCTTTAAATCTGTTACTTTCAAATAACTTAGAGCCCGTAAGGAATGCCACAGCCTTCTGCAGAGGGCATGTTTCTAAACGAGAAATTAATTTTCTTATTTTACAATATCCACCTTCTTCCCAGCACTCAGAGAAGTCAATTTTTAAATATTAGTCCTGAGGGATAACTGGAGTATTAGGGCACAGCTCCTCAAAACTTAGGGGAAAAAAACATGTCCTGTTCACTTTACTATGCACATATGCCAATAATGATGTATAATAAGAGTAAGATCTGTAGTGTGGGATGATGATGATGATTATTATTATTACTATTACTGCTAACTTTCAGGAAAGCTTAAAGCCCCAGAGTTCTTCGGCTTTGCCTGGCAACAAGAGCCACATCTTCAAGGATAGCTGCAGCAGTCCAGCAACTGTCTGGGGAATTACTGCCGTGCCAGCATCCCTTCCACCAAAATAAGGTAACTATCGGAAGTCAGGATGCAAATCTCTACTGTTAGAATCAAAGCTAACAGCTGTTACCATGATCGTTATATTTGGGATAATCCCAAACTATGGGATCTCTCTGATGGCAAACAAAACAGTTCAGAAGCTGTTTTTTCTGTTGCCCTGCTGTAGGAATTACAGAGACCAGTTGCAGTGAGGAAAGCAAAACACGAAATTCAGATTCTCTCTTCCAGGAGGGATCTTTGTCTGCAGAAAGTAGGGACTGCAGTAAAAGCAGGAGCTCAGCCATTCAACTCCCCACCTTTAATGCAGCTTGTCCCTGAAAATGTCATCTACAATGCAGAAATGCATTCCAGACTCTACAAGAAAACTCAAAATAAACTGACCCCCTCATGGCACTCACCTGGTGCCCGTTACCCGTTTATAGTTTTCTTTTGAGTACACAGCCAAAATGCTGACCCCTGAGCCAATGTTCACCAAAAGGAGAGGATACGGATTCTCCAAGTTGAATGGGAGCTTCTGACATCTTTCAGCATCCGTCGGGTTTTCAAAATAGTAGCACTCTGAATGTCCATTGAATCCAACCGAATCAATGTACAAAACTCCTTTAATAAGGCAATCGAGTTCATCAAGCTTACAAAGCTGAAGGTCACCCATCTGGCAGGGAAAAAGAGAAAAAACAAAAAAAGAATATTCAAGAAGTAGCTAGGGGTCTGAAGTGTTTATGCTCAGGGCTAGAAAAATGCATTCACTTCCAGCTAAATTCAGTGATCTCCATTACTCCCTGTGGTGGCTGAGAGAGAAGTACTGATCACAGGAAAGTTCCGTCTTTCTCCCTGCACACGGACTGCTAACTATCCTGGCCCTGAAGTGTGCAGACATGAAAGAGGGGGGAATGAACAACTGCATCCACAGATGGATGCCAAGAGAATCCCATCAATTTCCATGGGCCTGATTTAGGCCCTGACTCTGAGACACTGGCATGAAAAACAAAGAAAAACAAGAAGGGACTCATCTGTTGTTGGACCAAAGAAAAACCACCCAGAAAACCACCCAGAAAACAGAGGAAGTTGTGAAATTGTTTTCCCTTCATGTCACTGCCTCAACTGCACAACTGTATTTGGTGCGCTTTTCCAAGCCCTGGTTAAACAAAGTATTTATCACACATGTTTTTCACCTATGAACAAGAATCAAACTTACAATGAAGCTGCATGATGATATCAAATTCCAGCTACTAACCTCCCTACCAGTTAATTCACCAGCAAATTTGACTGAACCTCAACCAGCTCACTCACACTTGTTTTAGAATCATAGAATGGTTTGGGTCAGAAGGGACCTCAAAGATCATCCAGTTCCAACCCCCCTGCTATGGCCAGGGACACCCTCCACTACACCAGGTTGCCCAAAGCCTCATCCAACCTGGCCTTGAACACTTCCAGGGATGGGGCAGCCACAACTTCTCTGGGCAACCTGTTCCAGTGCCTCACCACCCTCAGAGTGAAGAATTTCTTCCTTAGATCCAATCTAAATCTCCCCTCTTTCAGTTTAAATCCATTGGCCCTTGTCCTATCACTACACGCCCTTGTATGTAAGAAATGAAACCACATGAGCAAAGGAACAATAAAACAAATATCAAGCATGTGAAAGACAGCAATGAGAAAAAAAACCCACAAGACTGAGATCAGCATAATGAGAGATTAATAATACAGAGACAGTCTTGTAAGAGCACATGCCATGGAAGTTAGTTAAAAATTTTAGAGTTACAGGAACGTTACATGCACTTTCAGGAAAGAAAGTATCCTAATTTGGAGATGCGAACTTGACTCCACATGCTGTTTCCTGAACCAAGTTTAACTGGAGTTAAGCACGCTCTTAATCTAAGATTTAGAGAAGTTTTTGAGTCTGCAGAGAAAGTTTTCTAGTTTAAAGCTTTAAAAAAACTTGGCTACCAGATCTGAATCGTATAGAAGCCAAAAATGCATACTGTGCGAAAGTCCTGCTCAAATTTGTACGCTCCACCTCCCGTGGCACATAAGGTAGTATGGAGGCTTGAGAAGTGTTTTTCGCTTCCCATTTGGATAAAAGCAGGCATGTCATGAGTAGGAAAGCGTATAAAGTGCAGATTGCCTTTACGTCCACACAGGGTAAGGTCCTTTAGTTCAAGGTGCACATCCCGAATGCCTGTAGATCCATAGGCTACATTTGATGTCAGGTATTTGCGGATACTTTTGAGGTTTTCCACTTCTTCCTCCTCCTCTTCAGCGGTGATGTCCTTTGGTTCAAAATAAACAAGTTTGACCAAGGTCCCTCCGATATCCAAGCCAAACCAAGGGAAGACTAAAGCCAGGAGAAAAAAAAAAAAAGAAGAAAAAGAAACAGGTTGTGATACTGTCATCCCATCAGCAAAACAGTTATAAACTGAATTAATCCCTGCAATTCTCTAGAGACTCCGCAACGTAGGCCTGTTTGATCTCCTCATTTCCGAAGTGGAGAACAAAGGAAAAACATTAGCAGACTGGTCTGCCTTTGACAAACGTGGCTGAGACTCCTCTGACCACGTCCTCCGCTCCTGTTTTGAGACACCACGTGTTCAGGAGCTTCCAACATCTGATAGGCAACACTCAAAATACTTACACCACCACCACCACGCAGCACTGGAGACGCACCCAGCACAGGCCTGACAGTCCTGCACAGCCACTAGATACTGCTGCAATTTTAATCCCCAGCTATTTCTTTTATAAAAGTTCTGATCCAGAGCCAGAGCCAAGGATAATACCGGTGCTTAACCATCAAAGGGATGCACAAACGTTAACTAATTAGAACACATAACTGAGGTAGACGAGTAATCTAAGATGCCCCAGGGAGACAAAAACAAATGTCTAATTGGATTATTTTATTAGTCAAATTCCCCCATGGTACAAAATATGCATTAGCGTCAGGCCCAGCAACATTTACAGCTGTATTAGATAATGAGCTTCTTGGAAAAGATCAAGAGAAAACCCTGATCAGATGGAATCTGCGATTAGAGTTGAGAACTGGAACAGATTAATATTACTATTAATGAGCTAAAGGATAGGCTTGAGCTAACAAGATACACGGGCTCCAGAGCAAAGAGAAAAATGTAGCCACATGTTCCGGCTTATGGTAGCAGGATTAAACCCTTATGCTTTTTCCAAAAGGAAAACAGGAATGTTTAGAAAATAAATCTGAATGTTAGATGTTACTAACGTTCATCTGGAAAGAAGGATCTCAGGTTTTAGCAAAATTCTTACACGTCAGAGACAGGCACGATAACATTCTACTGTTATTTTTGCAAAATATGTTTTCTTATCTGCAGACGGATAAGCGTGCAACACGAAGAAGCCCTCATTCCTGCCACCGTTCGAAAGCGCGTATCGCTCCGGTTAAGCCCTGGGAAGCAGCAGCCACCCCAGAACGCAGGACTGCCCAAACAAAAGCATGTTCCGTGTTCAACGTGCGCACCGAGGCCCCGCCACTCGAGCTGCAGGAGCACCACGCAGTCAGAGAGCAATTCCCACCTACCTAGAGGCAGCACTTAAGAAAGCCGAACAGCAAAGAAAATGACCCAGAGGCAGGAGAGAAACTCAATCCCAAAGAAAAGGATCTCTGAAAAGCCCCAAACCCGACAGGCAAGCACGTGTTTGAAGACGACGCATCCCCTCCTCGGTGGGTTAACTTGGTTGCTGTGCAGAGCGGTGGTAAAACGGGCCCTTCTAGAGCATCACAGCTCCCCAGGAGCTGCCAGAGCCATCGGTTACCCACATCATTTTTCAATCACTGAGCTATTTTTATGTATTTACATAGAGGCCACCCCCAACCATCACCAAAAAAAAAATCCTGAAAGAAGTCGCAAGCTCTATTTTAGGAGGCACATCCAGATCCCAATCAACGTCTATTTCTAATCCATTGGCTTCAAAACAAGAACGGACATAAAAATAACTGTTCATGAATGAGAGAAAGAGAAATCTGAATCATGGCCCGAGAGAGAGAGGAAGCAGGAGCAATTCAAGAACTTTGGACAATTTTTCATTCCGTACTTCTGAAATGGATTTCAGGATTGCAAACTCCATCAGTATTTCAGGATAGAAAGTCTACCAAATGCTTTAGAATAAAATAGAACTATTTAGTTTGGAGAGGACCTTTAAAATCATCGAGTCCAAGTAAACCTAACACTGCCAAGTCCACCACTAAACCATGCCCCTCAGCTCCACATCTACACGTCTTTTAAATATGTGCAGGGATGGTGTCTCTGGGACACCAGACCAGGAGGAGCATCCTCATGGGAAGAAGGGTCCAAGACCTTGGACCAGTATAAGTGGAGGGAAAGGCAAAAAGGACAAACTCCAGGATTTCTGTACCCCCAGAGAAATGGCCTTGTCGTGGAGGTGTGCGGCAACAGCAGCTGAGCTGGCAAACAGCAGTCACAGAGACCAAGGCCACTCTGACCAGGAGATGGAGACTCCGTTTCCACACGGCAGGCATCAAGGCAGCAAACAAAACCCACCAAGCGGCCACTTGCTTCACTCACCTGCTCTTCCTGACACCTTGAACCTAAAAACCTGTATGCAGGCCCTCCTAATGCCACAGTAAAGCCATCTCCAATACGGCATATACACCTGTAAGTCAGCAGTCCCCACATTAATGGCAGAATGGGACCCCTCCCAAAGTGGAATGAAGTCCTAGATGTTGGATTGAAGTCCCAGATTTCTCAACTAACTACCGCAGAAGAACACTCTGAACAAGCATCATGCCCTGCTATTGAGAGAGGAAGCAATAAGAACGCCATCAACGTCACACAGGTAAAAACAGGGCACTGGCAGCCAAACCAGAGCCTCCTGCTGCTGTTCCAGTCCCTCCAGTGACTGTAACTGGCAAACACCGCTCTATTTAAATACCCAGTTCATGTATATGATCACTAAAAACAGGTTCCCCACATTCACTGTGCTTTTCAATACTGCTTAAGCTCTGCTGAAAAACGAACAAGCTCTACGCAAGGAAAGGAACAGGAGGAGGCTCTGGCTTTACTCAGCCAAGTCTCCTCCCGTCTGCCATGGTCACTGACATCCCGGACTCCCTTTCCACAAATCTCCCGCTCTTAAAAGTGCTCATCTGCTTCGCCATCTCTGATCTGACGAAGGGATTGGTTCCAGAAAGCTCCTGTCCTGGTGCCAGGA